CTTCTCTCCGAGAAGCGTCCTCCGTAAAGAAGCGAAAGTGGAACGACGCGACAGATCAATCGCGGTACAAGTTTTGAGCGTCGTTTCAGAAAGCAGAAGAGCACTGTGGTGGCTTCCGGACGACCGTGACGGGTCATGACGACGCATCGAACCCAGTCGCAGTCTGTGTCAGCCAGGAAGAAGTATTTGACTTCCGCCGTGGGTCGCATGAAGGTCTTCGGACTTGAGCTTGAACTCTCCGCGCGGAATGAAAAGGACGATATCTAGCAGTGGACAGAGAGCGAATCGGTGGAGTGTGCGAACAGACCACAACAGAGCCTAGAGATAACTCAGAACGGGACACACTCGAATGCGTTTGAGAAGAGAAGCGAGTCTTGGTGAGGGGCATGTCCACCATCCTGTTTTCTATATATGCCCCGCGTTCCCGTCCCGGAACTCTTGTTTCAAGTCAGAAAAATACAACAATGTTTCCCAGAGCGCAATGAGAGACCAGACTCCCCGATGCGGCAGATTTCAATCCCACTTGAAGAACATCGACGTAGAAGCGAGTTCCGGACAATCGTCGGTTCTCCTGAACACGGAACGATCCGACGAAAATCAGAATGACAATCGAGGTTTGTTACAAAAATGCCACGATTATCCGACTGATTATAACTCGATTGTACGGGGCCAATCGGACTGCCTAACCCCTAGTTCCTAAATCTTAATTCGGTGGCGGTGAATCTTCCCGACGGGCCAGCGAGCGACGTTCTGACAGATCTTGAAGCGCGCTCTAGTGAAGAGAAATGACTCAAGCATCGCGAGAGACGGAATAAATCCGGCAATGGCTCTTCCGGATGAAGAGCGAGAGAGCCGCGCTCGCGACGCTGTTCTGGATCCAGTCCCTCGCTGAATTCCACCGATTTTTCTCTAGAGGATTGGAGGAGCCTAGTCCGGCCTTGTTTGGGCGTATACGGCGATTGACCCTCTTCTCGCGTTGGAGGGAAGCAATGGGCATGCAGGCTTAGCGAGGCAGTCATTTAAATTGAGTTTCGACCTACTAAGAACTCAGAGGTCAGACGATGCTCGTGAGGCAATGTCAGAATCCGGAGCCGGGAGTGCCAATCGGCTGACGACGTCTCCTCGCATTCCTCGCTACGGGGTGCAAGTCCAGAACACGGAGTGCTTGACGCACTCGCATTTGACCACGATGTCGCCCTTCGCACAGTCTCGGATCCTTATGGCTGATTGGAACTTCAATTCGGAGAATTAAGAAAAATGTGCCGATTATGATATTCCAAGTTTTTTATTCATCCAGAACATCTTCGCAAGTTGACACTCTCATCCTCATTATTTGCTCATTATCCGCCGAAGGCATTTCGACAACGTTCTCCCAATTCAAGTCGACATCTGTACAGGGGTAAATGCGGAAAATTTCCCTTATTTACGATATTATTAAGGGTGTGTGATGTGTTGTTTACAGGAAGTGTTTAGATTATGTGGATTCATGTCCCCTCCCACCGTACCTCGTGAAACAATATTCGACCTTGAAGAGGCGTTCTATCTCTCTGGGCGCGGAGCCAGGCTCTCCGAGTCGGCCGCCCCCCGAAGCCTTCCATGTTGGAAGATAGGAACTGCAGGGGAGCTGCTCGGGTAGCGAGGAGAACGAAAAGCGATTCACAACGCATTGGAAACAACCCATCAGGGGATGAAACGTCGATAATGGAGCAAAAACAAGCAGAAACGTTCATAATTCAAAATATCAGCGGTTCATCGGCCAACCCATTATCCGTGGCTATAAGGATAAATCATTCAATACAGAGACCCGCCAGACTCCTCCGTCGCCTGACTACGAGCGTTCCGAGTAGTCAATGCGACTGCAGTGACGAGGAAAAGGGTTTTTCTGACAGAGAGCAGATCGACTAGAGCCGAAGATCAGCTCGGGTTTGAGGCTAGCTGTGACGCTCCGAGCATTGCCAAGCAACTAAATTGACGGATGATGTCCACTCTCCCACGGAGAGGTAAACGACGATTCGGTCGGAAGCTCTCGCCCACATGGAGCCGTTCGAGATCGAACTCCTTGCATCGCGTCTCCATCGGCGTCAGACCTGTGGAAGCCAACGTCTAAGTTCTTGGGAGACTCGCTCAGCAGAGCCATCCTCTGCCTGAGCGGTCACGATTTTAAAGACTCCGGACACCACGTCAGCAATGCCTATATCGGGAGTCTCGAAAACATCAGTCGGAGCGAAAGCCCCCGTCAGGGCTCCCTATCAGATCACAGACATGAGTCTGTCGTCTTGGCAATCAGGATGGATAGGGGGACACAGGGCCAAACTTTGAATTCCGAATTCGGGCAGCAAACGGGGAAACACACAAAAGCTCACCGAGGAATAGCTGCTCGAGGAATTTGCACGATGTTCGCGGGGAGAGATCGACGAGATACGACGATGACACTGGAGCAACCACTATGAGACCAAGACACGACACCAGGACGATGACATCGACGGCGGTGGAGGCAGGGGCCTTGATTCTCATCAGAGTAAAAGGCTTCCTTCGCCCGCGCTCCTACCGGTTGAGCAATTTTCTCCTTTTCATAGCGAGTAGATGGAGCGCGGGGCAGGCCGACCGGGGGACACCTTCCATATCGGTAAACTCAAATGACCCGGAGTATATGGCCCTCTCGCAGCATCGGAGGGATCTAATGGAGCTCGATCGGGCCGTGTATTTTACGCAGAAAGCAGTGATACAGAAGACGTAGTTTGCGATGCCATTGGCTAAGGACGTTCCATCAACAAGAAGCTAAGAAGCCGGAGGCCTAACAGCGTCAGAATACAACATGGGTACACATGAATATATACGCCGGGGCTCTTCGCACTAACCAAGGTCGCCGGAAGGTCTCAGCTCTCTCCGACTGACAGCCAAAGGTCTGCAGAGGTCGCTGGGTGCCCTCCCCTCAGTTCAAATATTTCGAGTTTACCATCGCCGGCTTTTAGGGCCAGTCCTGCTGTCGGATAGCAACACCGGAAGATCTTGCACCGGAAGGTGCATAAAATCTTCGGCGGTGTGTAAGAGAGCCCCACGCAGAAAATTTCACAGGGAACACAAGTGCTCGTCGCCTGGGCTCGCATGAACTCATCGACGCCTTGTCGACGCCATGCTCGAAACTTGTTTGCCCTCGATGCGGCGAGCGATGGTCTGTTGCTCACCACGGGACCCTCTCTCTGGGGTCAGAACCGTTGCCCGCTGGGTCGCTGGCCGTCTATCTTCACAAGAAAAACCACAACACACTGAGCCATAATGAGCCTTCTTCATCAATAATGAAATATGCTGCTACTGCCATATTGGAGGTTGCACTCGTAATTAGGTTTGTGAGGAGCAGCCGCCCTGCTAATAACGAGTTAAATAATGAATAATGCCGGCTCTACGACGCCAGTGAGGTCCAAGCAGCGGTGAGTTGGCCCTGATTAGGGGAAAAACGATGGTCAACCGTTGGACGCTGCACGGCATGGCCTCCATCTCGATCGCTCAAAGCCAAGCATCCTAATCGAATATATGCGCGGCTTAACACGCACGGCACCAGGAAGGTGGGCATGAATCGTCTGTATGTTCAATCGATCGGGAAACTCCCTGGATGATCTGATTGTGTTCGTGGTATATGTTAGATCTTCCACGTGTATGTAGTGCTCCACCAGATATGCTTATGGATGATCACATGCTAGCTTGTGTAAAAACCGGGTATCCACACCACCGTAGAAACTAGTGTTTGTCGAAAAATCATATGTCCTTCGATAGTGTACTTATGTTCCACTCATAAGTTCCGCTTACAATTCGATATGTTCAGTCGTGTCTCAAGTAAAATTAAATATGGTTGGAACTATCACCGCCAACAGCTGCGCTACCTCTAACTTCTCCATATGGAGGTATAGGGGAGTTTTGTAGAAAAATTTGCTGCTATCCAACAAGGGGATATGTGGATTTATATTCAGTTCGGACGAACGTAGGCAGCTCACAGTGCATTCTTCTCCTCAATAACGAGTCTAGTCTAGACATATATGTATGTATATCCACATCTACATCACTCAACTATTCAACTTCGATCTAGAACGACCGTTCCCATGCGATTCGGAATCGATCCCATCGTGGAGGAAGTAAATTTCCCTTCCGTTTCTAAAAAGTACAGTCGCCTCTTGATATTCTCCCTTTGACCTAGGCTCCTCCCGCCTTTTTTCTTCCTTCCATCTCGTTGTACAGGCTCCTCATCCCAGAATTCCCTGTGGAATAACCTCATCCCGTCGATAGGGAGCAACGCCGCGGGGGAAATCGAGAAGCATCTCGAGAATTTTCAGAGTTCCAGAGCCCACACTCAAAATTTGGAGTAAAAGCTTTGAATGGTCGAGAACGTGGATCTCGAACGAGACTCCGACGGAACTCTCGTCTTGATTTCATTCATCAAAGAGAAAAATTCCACTCTCAAGCGACTCCGAAGCGCTGTGATACTTCGAAGTTTGAAATTCCGATCCAGATTCAATATGCAAGTGCTGCATTCTTCCCGGATCCCATACAGAATAAATCGAATTCAAAAGCGTTTTGTGCTGCTGACGAATCCGCTGAAGACATTATCTCTGGAATCCGCTGCTCCCGAGGCGAGCCCCATTTTTGATGCGAGATTCTCTCTACAGGGAAGGGGATGAATCTCATCACAGGCTCCAAAACAGAACCTAACTAATAACCAACTCATAATGTACACGGGTCGATTCGCGAGCGCTAACGCCGCTAGCATTGGGCAGCGTGACGATGCTCAACGAATATTTTCGCTTTCTTCCGGAGCTTCTCGGACGCGCCGTTGTCTCCGGTTGATCGTCGATTCATTTGCATGTCGATCAGCTCTCCGACCCCCTACATTTTCCCTTCTAGAACCTCATCATCAATTTACAAATAATGCTCTTCCACCGATGCGTCGGTGGCTGAGAACGAAGATTATGGAACGAAGTTCTTCCCTTTAGCTGCTGTGGAAGTTGCCGTTAGTTGTGCGGAGCCCTTTTTCCATGCAGGTAATCGATCCAGCGTTGCGCCGTCGTTTCCAGAATTTTCGACTGCATTATCGTGTTGAGGTAAAGCAGTTGACTTATGTGCGTTGTGTGATAGTCCCAACGGGCGATGTTGGGCGGCAGTGACGGAATCGAGAAATGTCTCAGGTCGTACACAGACCCCGAGCCCGTGTCGAACAGAGGCAGCATGTGTTTGAGACTGGTCATCCCGTCAAGGAACAGCGTTCGGGCTCCGCTGTCGTTGCTCACCTTGAAAACGTCGTAGATGCCGAACAACGAATAGATGAAGCCGTTGAGCACAAAAGAGCTCTTTGGCGTCGGGTACTCTTCGTACCAACTGTATTTGTCGGCGAATTTCGTGAGCACACCGCCATTCCTCGAGTCCTTCTTGAAGAGCTCGAGTGCTCTCAGAGCAGACTGTAGATAGATCTGCTGCCGGGTGACTAGGTACGCTCGCACGAGCAATGACATGCACTGGCCTTGGGCCATCGCCGAATACCAGGGCGCTGTCAGGAAAAGGAGTTCCGGCACGAGGTTCCTGCCCACGGTAATTGGCCAGCCCCCGTCGCGGTCCTGGTTTTTGACAAGATAGTTGCACGCGGCGAAAAAATATTCGTCGTGCGCCTGCGTCAGCAGCGTCGCGTTCCCGATTCGACCGTGACCCCGGAACACGATCTTCACTATTTGGACAGTTTTTCCTACGAGGGCCGCGGCTGTTCTCGATGCTCGTTTCCCTGTTCCGGTCTGGAGACCCTTCCGTAAATCGATGAAGACGTCTCGGGTCAAGGTTCTCCAGGCGTTCCGTGATGCTCCGATGCCCACGTAAACGTCCTGACCCTTGCTGCTGATGAGTACGTCGGTCATGACGTAGTGGACTCCGTACGTGGTTCCTGACGCTATGACGTACACCGAGACGCTCCCGTTTTGTCCGAGGAACAGGTCCAGCTGAACGATGGGGAATTGCTCGGTAGTCTCGAAATCGAGTTCGACGCCGGGCGCGGCCTCGCCCTCAGAAGTTCGGAACTCCATGACGGGTCGACCCGTGTCTTCGTCGGACGTGGGTCGGAAGACAGCGCCCTCTTTGGCTTTCCATTCGCAGCCATCTTGCGTCGTACCCCGCGTGAGCAGAAACTGACGTCGCGTTGTTGAGGTTGCAGTCAGGTTCTTGCTGAAATGACTCAATCCGAATTGCGCTATTTGTGTCGGGTAAAGATGTCCGGAAGAGTTCCACTGCGTGCTGACGGGAACACCTGGAAAAACATAAACGTCAGAGTCACTTCGTCAGGTAGATTAGATAAATAATAGTGAGGAGGCTCGTGCACGTCTTCTGCCTCTCGTCGTTTTCGCCGCTTCTCGATAAGCTCCTCCGCTATCGTGTCGATGTTTTATTACTGCCATTCCAAGAAGCTATCAATCTCTTTCTTGCAAGAGTCCATTATTCTTCTCGTTTATTCAGTTCTGCTCTCTTATCTATATTTCAATACGCCACTCCCCTCCTCATGCGCGCCCGCTCGGAGGACTCCGTATCGTCTCCGTACATTCATCTCCTCATCGACAAGTATTCATGTCTCTTCAATGACCCTTTCTGAGACTTTTCTCCAGTGTCGTTGGCGTCCTCTTTCAGCGCTCATCTTCGGTGCCGCCTTCTTCCATGCAGCGTAATTTTCGTTCCCATCGGTGTCTCGTATTCCTCTCGAATCCCCAGCAGATTCGCCGGCTACCTTGTTGCGCGGCTCGCTCTTTCAGCCGCCGACTCACTTTTCGGCTAGCCGTCCCTCCTCCCGGTCCCCCGATTCCAGCTAACGACACGTACGAAACTTCCATGTATGCCGCAGGACACCTCGACACCATCCTCTCCTGTTGCTGTGTGTCGTGGTGATGGCCTACGTCCATCCTCGGTGGCCTGTCTATCACGACGTTGTACCCATATCTCCTCGGAGGACCACGCGACGACCGCTTCGGCTTACCTTCAATGCCCGAGATGACTTTGACGCGGTCGCGAATAGCGACGTTATAGTTCCCGAACCATAAATACGGTCCATTGGCTTTATACTTCTGGCTGGGGTTCGAGTATTTCGAGTAGGAATGCTGCCAGTGGAACGTCGAACCATCAGCGGAGAGCTTCCCATACACCTGCAAAGAAAGAGACACGGAGTCAATAATTTCGCTCTCCATGTCCACCGGTGAGCTCCGTCATATGAGTGCTATAGACGTCCAAAACTTTATTGAAGCATGTGAACGCAGCTCGGCTGAATTTCATCAACAGTCAAGGGCGCGACGGCGTTTCCCACTTTGCGAAAGGAGCTCCGCACCGTTTAGATCGCTTTGTGTCGAGTATTAGCGGACGAATGGAAACAGCGATAAAGAAAGTCGTTGTTACGTTGATGGTCGTTGTGGTTGTTTCCTTTGTGGAACTCCGCTGTTCCAGGGTAGAACGGAGGGTGACGGGGGCGACTTGTCCTGTTCTGTGCTCTTCTCGAGACCTAAACGTTGAAAAATTCACAGACGGAACCGCCGCCAGGCTGATACAAAATGAAACATTGGTCTGCGGCCCTTTGTCGTAGACAGAGTGCGCGTTCGTGTTGGCATGAATATAAGCTGACGAGGAACGCTTCCCGGGTACTCAACAACTGCTATTGCTTGTTCAGCAACCTTTGTTGTCGTCGCCTCACCTGTGCTGCGTCCAGGACCGAATGAGCGTATAAGCTGCTCTAATCCCCGAGATGAGCTCCGCATACTCCGTAGCGACCCGAGAGAGCTAAAACCCTGGGGCTTTTTAAAGCTCGAGTACAATCTTGGAACGATCATCAGTCATCAGAATCGATGGTCCGGAACTAGGAACGGAACTCTAGTTCACCGCTTCGCGAAGCTGGACCGCGGTGACGGTCATCCATTGACAAAGAAACGGTGGGAGATTCCTTGAATGGAACAACCACCGCCGGAACTCCCCCTGAAGCACTAGTGATTTTGTGGAGCAGTGACTCGTGCAAATGAGTCGGCAGGTCTCCTATGGAAAGATCCGGAAAGGGATCCGGACAGCGGCGGATGTGAGAAAGGGAGGAAATCTAATTCAAATCATCAGAAGTAATAAAAACGGGTCCCAAAAACCAATAAGCAGTTTCAGGTCAAGCCGTGGGGTGTCGAAGCGAGTGCGTCTGTGAGCGGATGAGCCGCGAACAGCGACCAGATAGCAGTGGTAGATAGTGGAAGAAACCTAGATCAAGTTAATTCACTTTCTCTGTTTTTCTCTTCTCGCCGAACCTCCTCCCGCGTGTCACAGGAAAAGAGACGCGACGTGCCGCGGACGCAGTGGGTTGGCGGTGGCCAGGTCGAAATTACGAAACTCTCGCATTGTCAGCTGTCTGCTGCCTGGATTCCGTCCGGGCCGCATCGACTCCTACCGGGAATCGATTCAGTCCCACTCAGTCTTTTGATTGCTGCTTGAGTTGCTGAATCTTCCCGACTCTGAGTTGAAATTGACAAATGAGGCCGGCCTTCAGGAACTATTGATGTTCGAATCCTGCTGCTTCGGCTGAGAATAAGGGCGTTGAGGCAGACGTTGCTCAACGCCCGCTCTGGATTTATATTGAGGAACGAGGGACGAGACGGGCACGCGATGCATTATTCAGGGTGCAGAAGGTCTCAATCGCAAATTCGAATTCCGAAAATCGCACCTGTTACTTGAAGATCATGCCGTCCCTTACTCCGTATGAACGGCGCTTCACAACGTAAAATTAAGAACCTCGGCAGTACGACGCATCGGAGAGTGCTTCAATATCGAGAATGATCCCTCAGAGCGCTCTTGTCTCGGAATCGGCATCGGGGAGAATAGGAGGGACGCACAGAATCTGGCCGAGCTCTCGTCGACAGAGAGTGCGGTGACAGCATTTTTCCACGCTCGGATCCTCTAAAGTTCCTACCCGGAAAAGTGAAGACATCGAGTCACTTGTAGGCTCGCTCGCCCTGGCGCTGCCGCTCGGCGTGTGACTCGAGCAAGCATGAACCGGAGCTTGTGCTCCCCAGCAGAAAAAAAATGAACAGACCCCCACATTCGCGATCCGGAATCATGGAATTTATTTACACATTCTGCCGTGAGAACATCGCTGACTGACTGGGACGATAATCAAAACGTTTACGAATTCATGAACGCTGTGGCGATGGACCGCGAACCCGCCCATGATTCCATGATCACGGCAAATGATTGGTGATGATGATGATTCGTCGCCCGAACTCGCCCGTGACCGTTCCGTGAAGCGGTGGATTTTTTCTCGGTCGCTCCGTGCTCGAGTTGTTGGTCGGCGGTCTTCGACAACGGTTCATTCCTTCGTTGCGGGAGTAGTGTAATTAAGCTCAGAGCTCCTCCCTGCCTCCTCCTGATCTCCCCTCCTCCATCCACCTATGCCCCGTCTTTCCAGTGAAGCCGACTCGCACAGTTAATCTTGACCGAGAGGCCAACGCAATTTTGAAAGTGATGCCAAAACTTTCGAAGGCGACGCGCGTACGGAGCGGGTCCATAATCAGATGGGCAAGGTTACGTGGCTCTCCTCATTGTTCGCTCCCTCGAGAAAACCCGGTTTCTCTCGGAAACTTTTGCTCTCTCGACGGTCGTGTTTCTCTCATTAGTGTCTCCGGATCTGGCGTGTCGCTAATAAGGTGAAGTAACTCTACAGATTAAGCAGCTCTCAAAAGGCGAAGGATGATTACACGCAGCAGAACTCATTTTCGCTACGCAGTATCGCGAGTAATTTTTTGATTGAGCGTCCGAGGCATCCCTTCCGCTCGGTCATCGAAATTTTCTCCACCACCGAAATCTCCCGTCCGAATACCGAGTTTCTCCGCGTTCGTCCGATTCGCCATAGCCGCCAACCACACGACGAGACCTGCGCTGCCTCGGACATTCAACACCGCGGCCAGGGAGCAAGGGGAAAGGAGAGCTTTAATTTTTTATTTCCGCTCCATCATCCGATTTTTCCTGCCTAGGCTTCTCCACACCGCTCCGTGTGGCACAGGCGTCGTAATTCGATATCTGCTGTCAGAGAGTGTTGTCATCGATTTAGCAGCGCCGACTTCCTGTCGGCCTTTCTTGCCTACTTTAAAATCAGAGCCCTCTCGAAAATTCGAGGACAACGAGCTTCCTCCCTCTCTCTATGTGACTCCACTTTGCACTCATTCGTGTCCTTCGCTCCCTCCGCTCTAGCCTCGGCTTCGAGAACAATGAATAGAGAACCGCTCGTCGGGTCTGTGGCTTGGAAACTCGACTCACAAAAGATTCATCCTTTCATCGCGCGGTCTCCGGGGAGGATGTGAGAATCAAGTTGTACGCGATTGAGTTACCGGCGGAACCGTCCCAACTCGTCGTTTCCCGCGTCAATCAAACCGCGGAATGAGACAAAGAGCTCGAGAGAAGGCAAAAATCTATAATGATGGAAAGAATCATCGGGGAAAGCTATCGTACGAAACCTGACGATTTCTGTCTTGCCAGCCGAAGGGGGTGAGCATCGGACGAGAGCTCTGTGCGAAGTCGACACCCGTATACTTCCGAGCAAGAACGGATTGTCCTGTCCTCACGTCATGTTGAGGACGGGGCAAAACGAGGTCGACCCGAGTCATTTTCCAAGATATCAGCGAACCCTATCGACCGTGGGTTGCCGGGCGTCGTTTGACAGACCACGGAGAATTATTCGAAGTTTGGATTCATCGGAGAGATCATTCCTTCGGCGTCTCGAGCATCGGGTCGGTCACAGGATCGTCACGATGAGAAACGTCGTAAAAACTTCGCACATCAGAGATACCGCCGCCGACAGCGTCGTCGTAATCGGTCTGTTCGCTCAACTGTACCTCATTCATTCGTCCGTCGCTCGCTCGCTCATCCGTACATAAGGTCGTATCTCGTAAACTGGGTCCCTGATGCGGCATCGGCGGCGTCGCAGACCATGATTTTAACGAGTCGGGTTGCTCCTCAGACGCTCTATCGACGCGTTTGAAGCGATTTGCATAACGACGAGTTATCGCGTTACGTTCAGTCGATTCGCACGGCCGAGCCGACTTACAGCTAGCGGGTTGCACAATATCCCCCGGACTCCGCTAATGTGACGAAGTTGGAGCATGAGCTCTGGCTCTGACCCCGCTCCCACTCCCAAGCCGGCCGGTTTTCTCTCCCCGCTGGGTGCCCCTGAAGTATAGTCGAATACATTTATCGCTTGTGTGAGTGCAGTCGATACGTGGAGCAATCGAAACGGAGTCTGGGTCTTCCCGAGCAGTTTCCGCAGCCGGCAAGTCACTCCATCGGACTGAGGGTTATGGGTGAGCTGGTCGACGGAGGGACGGCCGAGCGAGCGAGCGGGCACACTGTCGGTGAACGAATGAACGAATACGCCAGCTCGTCTAAGGTCCAATCTTACGAGACCTGCATATCAATATCCTATGCTGGAACGCAGCGATTGACCAACCGTTCTCGGATCCCTCTATAGCTTTCTGCCATCTCATCCCCGCGAACTTTGCTGTCTTCTTCATCGTCTCGTTCCTCGCCCTATCGACTTCTCGTTCTCATGGTTAGCGGTGCCCATAACTGTCGAGAATCCCCCCAATTCGTACGTACACTGACGTCAGCGTGGACTTCACCCTGATGGAGTTCCCTACATCCCCTCACTGTCGGATGCCACACCGGCTCCCTCCGCGGTCCTCCTTCCCCTTGTGATTTTATTCGAAGCTATACGGAACGTCAACCATTCATTCGAATCAGGTAAATCAAGAGACGATGAGTCGATCACATCGCGCCTTTGATTCACGTAGTCGAACGTGATTTTCCACCGAAGCATGATGAGAGGAACGAATTTTCCGCGGTGAAATCCGAAGGGATTCACGGCTTTTCTCGGCCTTAATTGTGCTCCCGAGGAAGATTAGGAGAGAATACCGCGAACTTCGAAAGATTGCGATCCGCTGAAAATTCACAGCCCGAACCATGGTGCCCAGCTTAGACCGAACCTCGATCAACTCCTCTCGAGAACCTCGTCGTCAGTGTTCATCGTGAGCGATCGTCTTGTTATTCAATTCGTTCCACCTGACGGATTCAATGGTGGTTTCCCTCGAGTCACGTTGAATTGCCCTCAATACCATGATGCTCTCCTAGTGCG